GTGCGATGGCTTGTGTGCCTCAATGAACCACTTAGCTATGCTGAGTGGTAATTTTGACTTCTTCAGAGCCACTCATACCAGATTGGTCAATGGTTAGATACCAGACGGACTCAGTCTCCTGGCCCTGCAGGTTGGAGGTCGGAGTGAGGGTGGCTTCTTATTGCGTAAACGATCCATGTAGCCCGCTACCTTGCGGTTAAGATTTTTGAATCAAAGGCTTTGGTTGAGAACCCTACTCATTGTTTGTCTAAGCTTGGGCAACCTGAGAGTGCTCTGCCCACTAAATACAACACTACAACACAACAATTTCTCGATGCGCTTGCTGTCGCAGAGGATGGTCAACAGCGTTCTATCTACTGCATCGAGAAGGGGGGATAGGGGTTTGGATGCTATTTCGCAGGCCTTTCTGCCTTCTTATTCCCCAGTTGCACCCTTGTATCCTTATTGTCCCCTTCCAATTTCACTTTTATTCGCCTGTTTTCAAACCTCCAATTCCTGACCCTTCACCTACTTGCTTCAATAGTCGCTCGTTTTCTAGTTTCAACACACACAATCGCAAGTGTTCGGCCACCGCTACCTTTGCATGTTAGCTCATGTATGTTGAGAGCTCCAGGTGAGTAGTGAACGTGTTCGATGCACAAAGAGCCAACGAACCGCTCAGCACCATTATATCGCACATCAGGCTCCGTTGGCTGGGTCACGTGTTGCACATGCCAGCACGCCGACCCCGCGTCCTGCGTTGTGTTCGCGCTCCTCTGGATGGAAGAGAAGGACGAGAGGCCAAGCGATGACAGTAGAGGGAAATGAAATCATCGCTTCGAAGTTGGCGTCGGTTGGTGCATCCCGAATGCTTGGTTGGGGTCCAAAGGATGATGGACACGTCTACTTGGTTACACTAGTTGACATGGTAAGGAGCCGATCTCAGTGGCGTTTGTGTTGGGTTTTTGTGTCCATCCTTTTCCCCTTTAGCTTTCCCACTCCAAATAGCATCTCGCACCTAATGCGTAATATTATATTTAACTGTATTACTTGCTTGTTGAACTATTCTTGTGGTCAGTAACTTTTGGAGTTCTATCCCTTTTGCATTGCGACACATCAGCTGATGTGTCTTTCTCACCATCGGCTAACGTGTATTGTTGATGCTGATGCAGCAAAATGATGTCTACTCAGGTTCGTTGAATTTCAAAACACAAGTTGAAGATACGGTGGCTAAAACAGAACAGACTACTGGAATGGTAGGCCGCTTGTTTATAACAAATGCTTTTAAGCTCCTGTCATTCAAACTCTGCCGCCACTTTAAGCAGCATGAGGATGCCACACTAGTGCAATCGAAGCTTCACAGAAATCTATTAGGAAAAGTTGTGGGTTGCGCCTCTAAGCTAACTTATATCATTTATTAAAAATCGAACCGCTATGGTTTCGAAGCTTAGAGGCTGTATTTATGTCTATTCTTCAAATGTGTTCATCGAATGACGCGCTAGTTATTATCAGCCGGTGTCCCAAGGATCTTCACCGTATGACCTAAGAAACAAATACCATGTGATAAAAGTACCTCGTTGGCGCACACGTCTACGGTACAACACCTTTACACACAAATTTCCTACGTTATGAAATAGATTGTCCCAGGCCATCAGAAGTTCCTCTTCTTTTCGAACATTTAATCTGCAACTGAAGGAGTACTTAAGTGTTAAAAAGTTGAACAAGTTTTTCGTGTCAGTTGCACAGGCGAATGAGTGTACGAGAACTGACCTGATAACATCTGAGTACTTGTGCAATTCGCAATATAAAATCACAGATAATTATGGGGAAGGGCTTGTCGACACAGCGTGAAACACAGTGTTCCCTTATCGAGTAATTTCTTGCTAAATAACTTGGATTTGTCTCGCATTCCTTCCTCCTACTTTGTCCTATTTGTTAGTGGCCTAGTAGGTTACTACTCGACTAGTTGGTGGATTGAAAATATCAGAAGGTGTGCACTAAAAAAGAAAGTATAAGTATTGAGGTGTGTTCGTGGTGTATCAGTACAGTAAGGATATAAAAAGGAGAGGTCGGCCCTAAGAATACAATGTACGAAACAGAATTTAATAGTGTCACTCACACATAAAGTAATGAGAAAGTGGTGACTTATCTCAGAGCACAAATCCTGTTCGTGGGGAATTGCAGGTCGCGGCCAGTCCTGTCGTGTAACGATTGTCTTGTCGTCGTCGGCGTAGCGCTTTTCGTGACGGTTGTCAAAGCACTAGTCGGAACGGTCGTGTGGCGTTCGTTGTACGGGAGTAACACTGTAGTCGGTCGGGAGTTGTTGTTGTTGTTGTCTATGTACTACACTTTTTATATAATGTTCGTTCAGGCGTTCAAACATGTGGGCCGTAAGTGGTACGATGTGTGAATGTAGGTCAAGAGGAACTTAATTACACGTGCACATGATGATAAAACCTTCCGTTCCGAAAATAGTGCAACGGAATATAAGTTCATGTGTAATGCGATCTCACATGTGCGACGAAATAAAACTTCATATGGGATGTGATCTCGCATATTCGTTGGTATTATTCAACTTGATGACCCACCGGTGGCCTATGAAAATAGTGGTGGATCGATAGATCAGATAAATGAGCTCTATCTGTGATTTTTCTCAGTCTATACTGTTATATTCTTCGTGTTACTCGGATTGACGGCCCGTTGGAGACCTATGATAACACGGGCACATCGATGAATTGGATAGCTGAGATTTGTCGTTGCTTTTTCTTCATCTAAACAGTATCTGATTGTGCTCTTAGTTAGTTTGAAGACCCACTGATGGCATTTAAAAAATAATGCGCACATTGGTGGGTTGGATAAGCAAGCTCTTTCTTTAACCTTCATATAGTGCTTCCTTTCTATTACACACTAGGCATGAGTGCCTGCAGGACATGCACCTGCTGAGAGCGTGGACTATTGATGGCTTGCAACTAACCCACCCAGTTTATATACGCGATTCTAGTTGCACTGTGTTATCACCTCTTACATCTTTTTTGAGGTAGATTGTTAATTCTAATTGATTTATTGTGCCGGATGCAGTTTTCAGTTTAGCCGTTTGCCGTGTTCTCATGTCTGCTCACACGCTTTAACTTATACGGTATTGTTACAGGTTTTTTAAATTACATTTTCCATGTACCGGTGCTTCAAGTGGAACGGCGACTTTATTCAGCATGAACATCAACAACAGCGCATAGGTATTTTATATTACTGATAGAATCCGAGTAGCTCGCAAACAACCAACTGTATAACTTCACCTTCAGCACAATCCCCTCGGGTTTAATGCGGGTTTCCGTCATTCTTTACCACGCTCCGACGCACTGCTGGAAGCATTCTTCCACGATGCTCCTTAATACCAGCGTCGCTTAGAGCAATATCAATTGAGTATGAGGGCTGTTCTATTACAGTAATTTTTTTCGATCAGGAATCTCCGGGTGCCCGGAGCGTTATGAGCAGGAGTATAGTCGTGAAGAAGCATCCACGATTTGCTGTCATAGTTATCGTCTGTTAAAGTGCACTCAGCGAAGCAAACGTTTCAATAATAATGCGACAATAATTGGCATAAGTGCGACATAGTCAATAGTCAGGTTTGAAGTGCATGTGACCCAGGTGCAGTAAACGAAAGTTCATAATCTAATACGAAAAAGGAAATAACGCAGTGCAAAACATATCTGGCGACAATTAACATGTGCCCAACATTTACAGATCACACAGTGAGGCTAAGGAGGGCATATTAACAGTCACTTCACAGTGGGAAATGAAGGGCCAGGTATCAGGGGGAGGAGTCTGCTGCTACAAAATGAACAAATTGGTGGTTTAACCCTAGCGATCCATCTGTGCCTCTCACGGATGGGCGACACACTGGTGTTAATTGCAATTTGGGAATGCACGATGTCATTGTTAGCCGCTTTCAATCAGTCCTGGTTGCAGTCGAGCAAGGAGCTGGTTGAACACCTTGAAGACATGACAATCTCAATGTCACATAATGTGAATGACTGGTTTACCTGGCAACCAGCTGGTTGGTGTTAGCCTGCTGGCAAATGGGCCAACGCATTCGTTCGAGGATGACTCGATTTCCGACACCGGCGCAGTACGTTATACAGGACGAGGAAATCAGCGAGAACGTGCTCATTATTAGTACTTGGTTTAGCTCAACTCGCACGCAGTTCTGTTTGCACTGACTGCCGTTGTAGCACATCGAAGAGCACGTACGTCGTCAACCACGGAGGTTACCGAAGTGCTCTTGTATGACGGCAACGGAAGGCCCTTGGTTGATCTTACGATTGAAACTGGGACGCCTACCGAACGAGTTCACTGAAACACCATCTACGCTGTGGTTGATGTGATATCATCACCAGCTGTTGAACCTCCGTGTAGGAACGACACTTTCGTAAAGGATGGAACAAACGTAATAGTTTAGGACTGCTACGAAATGGACCGTAACATGCCATACGTATGTTCTGGAGGCGATGTTCTCGTCGTGCTCGTAATAGTCCAGCATGTGCACAATCCCACGACCGTCACTTCTACGTCAGCTGCACAATGCGTTACTGGTATCCTACCCTGCGCCTGTGTGAATAACACAAGCTGAATGGACTTGTTTTGGTCACGGGAGGAGTGTTGCCAACAACACCGGGTATATTCATGAATACCATAACGTTAACCACAGCGGACTGCTTATCAAGGAATAGGCCACGCGGTTTATTCGTAAAGAGGAAGTCCTGTCGTTTCGATACCTTGTGAGAACATTATTCTCAGCATCGTGGAATCACGTGGAGGAGAGCAGTGCAATAGAAAGTGTCGTCGTGAAATTACGTATCGTTGTAAGTGCACAGCGAAAATTAGATCGGTGACACGAGAAACAGCTACATACAGAGCTTGCACAAAAGTAAGTGAACCCAACTGATAGGCACGTATAGGTTGAAGTTGCAAACCCATTTCATTACGCTTGGGTATGGGGGGGGTTTTCGGGCGTTTTTATTAAG